CCCCCCCACCACCACCCCCCCCCACCCACACCCACGCACCCCACCCTCGCACCTACACACTTCCACCCCCTCCACATCTCCACCCTTCAACCCTTCACCCCAACCCACCACACACACCACACACACACACACACACACACACACATACATGTCCACCCTCGCCTCTCTGGCCTCGGACCTGGCTACGGCACTGGTTGCTGGTGCCGACGAGGACGTGCGCTTCGCCCTGGACGACCTGCTGGTACGCCTCCATCCGTCCGTCCTTCTTCTCTCTCTCCGCCCTCCCTATTTCTCCTCCCCTCCTCCTCCTCTCATCCATACCCATCCACCCGTTCCCGTCGCAGAAGGCATGCACCGCCATGAAGTCCGCCGCAGCGGCAGCTGCCGCCGACGTCGGCCGCCGCGACGTGCTCGACGCGCTCAAGGTTTGGCTGCTGAACCCGACCGCTGGAGGCGCCGACGACCCGGTCTGTGCCGCCATGTATGGATGGGTTCAGACAGTGGCTCGGGCATCGGATGCCGCGCCGCGTAAGGCCTCGCCATCGCGTAAGAGCGGCGGCGGCGGCGGTGGCGGTGGGAGCAGCAGCAGCAGTCGCACCAGTGCCCGGGAGGCCGCTGCCGCCGCCGCCCTCGACGCCGCCGTCGTCGTCCCGCTCGTCCCGGTCTTTGTGGCGCGGTATCTTCACGGATGGGCGACTGGTGCGGCGCTGCCCGGCCTGGAGGCGCTCTTGCTCATGATTCACAACAAGGAGGCCGCCCTCCGCGCCTCGGAGCCGCAGCGGATGACGCTGCCGGTTCTCTCGCGGCCATCGGTCTTCCACGATCCGGCTGTCATGACCGGCGTCGCCGCAGGCGATGATGTCGATGCCTCTGACGCTGCGCCGTTCCCGGTTGCTGTTGACCTCCCGCTCCGCACCACCGCCGAAACGACGTGGACGTCGATGTCGATGGTTCTCGCCACTGCGCTTGGGCTTGTCCGCGACGCACTCATTGCCGGCTCGCTATCGGGCTCTGCTGTGGAGATTTTCTGCGAGATGACTGCTGCAGCAGCGGCCGGCAGCGCTGCAGCTGCCTTTGCCGCCCTTCCGTCCCTCCCACCCTCGCCGCAGGCGTCGGCCGCCGCCGCCGACCACGCCATGTCACAGCGAGTTATGAGCTCGGTTCTTGACTCGGACTCGGCTTGGTCCGAGTCCGACTCGGACAGCTTCTTCGACGCCGAGGACGAGCTGCCGAGCCAGGCGACCGGTCTCACTCTGGCGCCTGTCTCTTCGCGGCCCAGCTGTGGCTTTAAGGTCTCGCGGCAGATGCACGACGCCATGGTCGCCTGCCTGCACCATGTCCTCGCCTCGGACATCCGCAGCGCGCCGTCGCTCCTCGCACCAGCTGCTGCCGCTGTCGACGCGCTCTACCACCGCGCCACCCTCGCCATGGACTCGCACAAGCTTGTGGCATGCCTTGCGCTCAAGAAGCTCGTCGGCGACGCCACCGCCGTTGCTGCAGACGCCGAGCTCGGAGCCAAGCAGGCGGCAAGCGCCGGCGCCGGGCCCGAGCCCCCGCGCAGCGAGACCCGTAGCCGCCGTAGCCGCTCGCGCAAGTCGCGGCGCTCAGCAAAAAGCTAGACATGCCCGGATCCGAGTTCGAGCGCGAGCTCGTAGCGCGCGAGCGAGCATGAAGTGTCGGCCACCAGCACCTCCAGGCCGGACCCGCTGCTCAGAGGCGATGTCGCGATCCAGTTGATCTTGAGCCCGTGGTCGACCACCAGCACCGCGTCGTCACGCACAAGTTCGGCAGCCGGGTCGTCGAGCACATGCGCGTCAGCAGAAGCATTCAGATCCAAGCTCAGCGCAAAGACCCGGAGCGTTGTGTCGTCCGACGCCGAAACCACAACTGCCTCCCACACTCCAGCAGCCCTTGTCGGCTCGAGCTTGGCGACCGCAATCTGGGTCACCCGTGCCCGGTGCCCGCGCACGTTGCGCACCACCGCGCCAGTCTTGAGGTTGACAAAAGAGACGACTCCATCACCGCGCGCCACCACCGCCAGGTACGCCACCACCTCAACTGCGTGCACATACGGCGGGTTGACCATCTGGGTCAGTTCGACGCTCGAGGCTGGCGGCGTAAAATCGAGCCGGAACGGCTTGGTCTTGCCAGCCTTGCTCGCCGGCAGGTACGACAGCGCCAGAATCGAGTCGTACCCGCCGCTCACCACGGCTGCAGCGCCAAGCGCAGGAGCAAACGCCACATCGCCAGCCAGCGAGCCGTGCACCGAGAGCGCGCCCACGGGCGCACCGGTCCGGGTCTCCAAGATTGTCACCGTGCCCGCATCGTCGGCAATCACAGCCCGGCTTCCGCGCGAGTTGATCGAAATGCCTGCGGCATCGTCACCAAGCAGTGCCACTGACCAGGCGACTGGCAGGATTTCACTGTCGACGCCATCATGTCCCGGCGCTAGGCCCACCGCCCGCATGACCTGGCGACCAACGGTGATCAGAGCATCGGTCGGACGACGCAGAGACGGCGGAGCCTTGACCTTCTTCTTTTTGCCACCCTTTTTCTTCTTCTTCCCTCCCTTCTTCCCGCCTCCCATCGCTTGCCCGCCGTCATCATCGACCGGAATCCAAGCCAGCACGCCGACCTCATCATCGTCCTCGCCGCCCTCACCGCCAGCCGGGCAACGCCACTGCCCCACGCACCCCATCTCGGTCCCCACCTCCCAGAGCATCACGCCGTTATCCTACACCCCAACCCGTACCACATCCACAAGTGAGCCGATGCCAATCTCTCTCTCTCTCCCCCCCCCCCCCATCG